CACCTCATAGCGGGTCCCGCGCTTGTCCCTCAGGGTGGAGACGAGCAGGCAGGCGGGCCGCGGAGCCCCCGCTCGCCCCGCCGGAGGCCGCGGTGGGCTTCGGGGCGCCGGCTGCTGACAGAGGCTCAACAGCGCGCGGACGCCCTTGCCCGGGTTCCTCAGCCCCAAGGCCGGCAAGCGCCGACTCACCACCTCGACCTCGCAGTGCAGCCTCATCTTCCCGAGCGGCGGCGGCAGCCCCTCAGCCCGACTTTTAAACGCCGCGGTTCCCGCGGGCGCGCCGCGCCGCCGCCGAGGTCCTCGAAGGCGCGGGCTGTCCGCGGACCTGCCTGTCTGCTCCGCGCCAGCGTCGCGCCTCTCGGCAGCCCGGGAGCCCGCCCTCAGGGTCGAGTTTTCCCGTGGCTGCAGCCGGCGGAGCGCGGGCACCCACAGCCTGAGGACCCAGCAGGCGCCCTCCGAAACCAGCGACGGGCGAGGGCGTGGTCCTTCCCCGGACTTGGGTGCGGGAGCTGGGCGTTGGGGGCGGAGTTCGCCTTTACTGTTGCCACTTAACCCGTTATTTACACACTTTGCGCCACCGAGTTTTCCAAGGGAAGGCAGGTATCTCTGTGAAGAGGAAAATTTCTTTGCTTACCCAGCGTTGGCACTTGGGACCCTGACCAGTTGCCCAGTGCCAACTAGGGTGGGGCATTTCCTGGCCCTTTTGGGCTGGTGTTTTGTTTTTGGCGGCTCTCCTCATTCCAGAGACAACACCTGTCACAGCAGAAGGAACTTGTTAGGACAGTACTTGACTTTGCAACTTCTGTTGAACAGATTCCCACTTTACAACTGCGAGGGGTCTGGATGGAGTAACTGGCTTAAATGCATGTGAGACTTGGAAAGCGGGGGCGGGGGGGGGGGGCGGGTCTGCCTCAGCACAGTCTGGGATGTGTGGGTTCTTGACTTCCTGCAAGAAAGAATTCAAGACTGGCTAGGTCAGTGGTCGGCAAACTGTGGCCCCTTGAGTGTGGCTCTTCCACAAAATACCACGTGCGGGCACGCACTTACAGTGTGATTGAAACTTCGTGGCCACACTCAAGGGGCCAAATAGCCGCATGTGGCTCTTGATCCGCAGTTTGCAGACCACTGGGCTAGGTGATTTTGAGAGTGTCTGCCCCCTGGTGGTTAGTGTGTGTCATAGTGACCAGTCGGACGGTCAGACACTTAGCATATTAGCCTTTTATATATATCTATATATATAAAAACCTAAGTGACTATTATGACCAGTCCACCAAATGACCGGTGGACTGCTCAACTGGTCGCTATGATGACACACTGACCACCAGGGGGCAGACACTCAATGCAGGAGCTGCCCTCTGGTGGTCAGTGCGCTCCCACAGCCAACCTCCCACAGTCTCTCTCTCCCCCCTGCTAGCCAACCTCCTGCCATCCCTCCCCCTGGCCAGACAGATCTGATTGCCCGATTGGCCTGATGGCAGCCAGGCAGAGGCACCACACCCATGCACGAATTCGTGCACCAGGCCTCTAGTAATGTGTAAATGTTAGATGAGTACATTAGTATAAAGTAGTCAGATGATGAGAACAATTTGTTTGCTAAATCTAGGCCTTAGAAAACCATTGAAGCAAAATTTCAAGCAAGGAATAAACTTCACACCTATTTAGGAAAAGTTACTGTGGTCAGTAAAGAGATTACTTTGGAGGTGGAGCAAACCCAGAGGCAGTTATCAGGTAGCTAAAGCAACAACCCACAATCTGCACTGCTGCCAGAATACTTTTCTGAAGAGGTCTCCTAGCCCTAGCTGGTTTGGCTCAGTGGATAGAACGTTGGCCTGTGGGCTAAAGGGTAACGGGTTTGATTCTGGTCAAGGACACAGATGGTTTGGGGGCTCGATCCCTAGTAGGGAGCATGCAAGAGGCAGCCCATCAATGATTCTCTCTCATCATTAATGTTTCCATCTCTCTCTACCTCTCCCTTCCTTTCTGAAATCAATAAAAAAATTTTTTTTTTTTTTAAAAAAGAGGTTCTTGCCGGGAGCTGGTCCATCCTTGCTGTTTCAAGGGACCTGGCATATATGGCATACTGTTCTTAATATGTTTGCTCACCTTCTTGGCACTATGTGTTTTAACCAAGGTCACCTCTCTGAGAAAGGTGGTTTCCCCAGGTAGGGATTTTCCCCTGAAGTTAGGGAGGGAATAAAACTCCTTAACTAAGTGCCAGGCGGGTAATTAATCACTTTAACTATGAACAATCATGCTTAAACTACATAATCTTTACTCCCTGGAATGGAGATAAGAAACGCCCTAACCTTTGGAATAGAGATTGATAGGATTGGAATCAACTGGTATAAATACAGATGTAACAAGACAACAGGACACAGAACCTAGAGACTGAACATGGCAAAAGATCCTGGACAGAAACTGGCAACAGAACCTAGAGACAGAACCTAGCGAGAGAACCTGGCTGGAGAACCTGGCAATAGAACCAGGCAAGAGAACCCAACCATGCTGATCAACTGAACACTGCCTCTGAGTCTTTCCCTCTTTGCCGACTCTGTTCACACCTTGGGGAACCCCTGGACCTGCTGGGGTCAAGACAGAATGCTAAACTTTTTGAGTCAAAACATAGTTTACAAATAGATGTTCTAATTCAATTCTCTCAATTTATACCAGGGGACTAGAGACTGAACAGAGTAAAGGGACTTGCCTGTGACCTCATAGATAGTGTTAGAACAAATAGTGCTAGAACTCATCTTACATACTATACTTAATCCTTTCCAAAAACATTCATGGAGTTACATTCTTTGTAATTTAAACACAAATGCCCAAAGGCTGGTCTCTTATTCCTTTGGAATCCAGGTTCTATTATGTAGCTGGACAAATTGCCCCAGAGCAGCCTCTGCAGTTCTTCAATTCCTGCTTAGTATCTGCTCTTTAGGATTCCTTGGAGCTCAACTCTGTACTTTTTTTTTTATGTTTTTTATTGACTTCAGAGAGGAAGGGAGAGGGAGAAAGAGATAGAAACAGCCTATATAATAAAGAGGCGATATGCAAATTGACCCTCATACCATCACACAAATGGCCACTCCCTTGTGGCCAAAGATGGCCGCCACAAGATGGCCTGCAGGAGAGGGTAGTTGTGGGTGATCAGGCCTGCAGGGGAGGGCAGTTGAGGGTGACCAGGCTGGCAGGGGAGGGCAGTTGGGGGCAACCAGGCCTGCACAGGAGGGCAGTTGGGGGGGACCAGGCCTGCACAGGAGGGCAGTTGGGGGAGACCAGGCCTGCACAGGAGGGCAGTTGGGGGGGGACCAGGCCTCTAGGGGCAGGCAGTTGGGGGCAACCTTGATGGCAAGGGAGGATGGTTGGGGGCAATCGGGCCAGCAGGGGAGCAGTTAGGCATTGACAGGCTGGCAGTGGAGTGGTTAGGGAGTGATCAGGCTGGCAGGCAGACGAACGGTTGGGAGCCAGCATTCCCGGATTGTGAGAGGGATGTCCGACTGCCGGTTTAGGCCCGATTCCACATTCGACCAGCAGTCGGACATTCCCCGAGGGGTCCCAGATTGGAGAGGGTGCAGGCTGGGATGAGGGACAAACCCCCCCCCCACCCGCACGAATTTTGTGCACCGGGCCACTAGTCAATGATAAGAGAGAATCGTTGATCGGCTGTCTCCTGCATGCCCCCTACTGGGGATCGAGCCCGCAACCCAGCATATGCCTTGAGTGGAATCGAACCGAGGACCCTTGGCTGACACTCTATCCACTGAACCAAAACCAACTCAACTCTGTACTTTAAAACATGATATTTCATCTAGCACTTTTTGCAAGAAAAATCTTACATTAGCTTGTCCAAAATATTGCTATATGATTACTTATTTAATGCCTGTCTTCATCATTAGGCTACAGCAGCCGTGGGCAAACTACAGCCCGTGGGCCGGATCAGGCCCGTTTGAAATTAATAAAACTAAAAAAAAAAAAAAGACCGTACCCTTTTATGTAATGATGTTTACTTTGAATTTATATTAGTTCACACAAACACTCCATCCATGCTTTTGTTCCAGCCCTCCGGTCCAGTTTAAGAACCCATTGTGGCCCTCGAGTCAAAAAGTTTGCCCACCCCTGGGCTACAGGCCTCCTGGGGACAGGTATTGAGTCATTGCTGTTATATTCAAGGCCTATGGTAGTGTTCACATTTAGTAGGTATTAGTGATAACCTGAACGGTGAGCCAGGTTTCTTTTCCCCCTGGGGTTGTGTCTCGCGACGCTGAAGAATGTCTCCACGCACCAGAAGATGTAAGCAAAAGTGTGGAAAATTTAGTGCAAGCAGATTCAGACTCCCTGAAAGGAGAGGGGAACCCAATAATGGGCTGCCCCCCTGAAGCCTTATAGTCCAGGGGTATATATTTGCTACAAGCCTGTTTCTGTATCTATCCGTGTCATCACCTCAATTGTTCTTGCCCAGCAAAGGACCTGAACTTTCCCTGTTTCTATGTGTTCTTTCTCTGTTCTTATGCTGAACTTTCTCTGTTTCTATGCGTTCTTTGTACACCTTGTTGCTGCAGGCCCTCTCTTGTTTTCCCATGCCTCCTGCTTTACGTCCAGAAACATTTTATTATTTCTGCTTGGTTGGTTCCTGTGATTAGGCTGTTCAAACTGCCATGTCTGCTCCTGCCTATGTTCCACCTGCCTTTGTTTTCCACTGGATCCCTACCCTATCTGCCTGCATTTCAAGTTAACCCTCTCATTAGGGTTTGGCTGGTGACACAGGCTGTGAAAGAATTCACAACTGAGAGAAGAGACAGATGCAGGGAGGAACTTTATTTTACTTTCCAAGAGAGGAAAGGGCCGGTGTATTGTTAGTCAATACAGGGCGGGAAAGATAGAGAGGATTGTACTTTTAAACAGTTGCTGTTGCTAAGTGACAAGGAAGGGAGGGGGGCTGTGTTGATGTTGAGCAGATACCAGGGAGGTTGTCGTGAGAAATTAGTTTGTTTGCATTCCAGGATTCAGTCCAGCAGATGTCCTAAGGAGGTGTCTTGTCAGTATTTTTCCCAAGCCTGTAAAACATGTTTAGAGCAAAAGTTATGAAGAGTTCAAAAGAAGCTTGTTTGAAGGGGAGGGAGGAAGGGAACGTTCTACTAACTAGAGCAGTGGTTCTCAACCTTGGCTGCACATTAGAATCACCTGGGGATCTTTTTCTAAAATCCTGATTTCTGGGCCTCATCCTCCGGAAATTCTGTTTCTTTGTTACTAATGTTGTGGCCTTACCCCATAACAAAGAAGCAGAATTTCCGGATGATGAGGCCCAGAAATCAGGATTTTAAAAAGATTCCCAGGTGATTCTACTGTGCAGCCAAGGTTGAGAACCACTGAACTAGAGACTCCTGGGTGAGAATTATCCCTGAGCTAAGAAAATAGCAGGGAGGTGGGGGATGCAAGAGTACAACCTTTGCTGAAACCAGTTTGGCTCAGTGGATAGAGCGTCAGCCTCTGGACTGAAGGGTCCCAGGTTTGATTCCGGTCAAGGGCATGTACCTTGGTTGCAGGCACATCCCCAGTAGGAGATGTGCAGGAGGCAGCTGATCGATGTTTCTAACTCTCTATCTCTCTCTTTTCCTCTCTGTAAAAAATCAATAAAATATATTTTTTTAAAAAAGAGATTTAATTAAAAAAAAAAAAAAAAAAAGAGAGTACAACCTTGAAAGTACCTTATCATGTCCAGTCGTTTGAACAGAGGAGCTGACAACCTCAGGGTTTAATTACCAGGTGCTTCTCACAAATCGTGGAAGGCCACAGCAAAGAAAGAGAGGCCTTTTTTTCTGTCCTTACAGTAGGTACTCAATGGTTACTTGTAGAAGGAATGAGTAAAAATGCTATTCACTTATTCATTTAACAAATATTTGTGAGAACCTGCTGTGGGGGCCCTGACCAGAGTACGCCTGATGTTAAAGGCCCATTTGCCACATGCCTGCATGAAGGCAATAACACAGCAGTATCACTATGTTAAAGGCCCATTTGTCACGTGCATGTGCAAAGGCAATGACTATACATACTGCGCAGGTGCACCCTTATATAACCCACTTATGTTAATGTAACACAGATGTCACTAATTGGCACGAAGCCGCTTCTGTTTGAGTTAGTATAAAAGCTGCTACTAACCAACCAGGAGCTGGCTGCTTTGTTTGCAATGAAGCATGTCCCATTTACCTGCGGCTGCTCATGTCTTCTTCCAGTCCCCGGCATCCAAGAAGTCCCTTCGCTGGCAGAGGAGCTCAGACCCATCACCTGCTCTGTGATAGACTAGAGCAAGCTTACAGATTAGTGCATATTCAGTTAATATTGCTTGTGTTGGAGTAAGTAGCTAGTAATTTGGAAGGGAGAAAAGCTGGATTTCTCCCTTACTCCCGGGGACAGTGAAATAAATTTTAGATGGATTCAAGATTTAAAGCCCTGGGTTTAACCTGAGGTGGCTGTGGCAGCATGGCTGGGGCCAGACTGGAAATACAACTAAATTGGGGAACATTCACCCAAAATTATCAACTGAGGTCCAGATGAAGAGACATATCAAGGAAAGACAAAAACACCTGGAAACTGGTAGGAAGGGTGAGGTCTCAAGAGTGGCTGACTCAGCTCCCATGAGCAGCAGGATGAGTGTAAGGAGGGAACTCTCGGCTACGGGAGGGTCTTTTCCCTGAGAAGGGTGAGTCCCGGAACCCAGGCTGGAAACAGCCCAACTGCCCATCAGTAGATGAGTGGGGAAAAAGCTGTGGTGATTTATACCATGAAATACTATGCAGCAGTAAAAATAAGGATTTCTTACCCTTTGAAACAGAATGGAGGGACCTGGAGAGTATTATGCCAAGTGAAATAAGCCAGTGAGCCCTGGCAGGTTTGGCTCACTGGTTAGAGTGTTGGCCCATGGACCAAAGGGTCAACGGTTCAATTCCCAGTCAAGGATACATACCTTGGTTGCAAGCTCAATCCCTGACCCTGCTCTGGGCGTGTGGGAAAGGCAACCCATTGAAGTATCTCTTACACACTGATGTTTGTTTTTCCCCCCTCTCTCTCTCTCCTCCTCTTCCCTTCCCTCCCTGAAAGAATGAATGAAAAAACTATTGGGTGAAGATTATAAAAACAAAAAAAGCCAGTTAAAGAAAGACAAGTATCACATGATCTCACTTATATGTGGAATTTAATGAACAAAATAAACTGATGAACAAAATAGATGCAGAGACATAGAAGCATGGAACAGACTGATGAATCTTAGAGGGAAGGCTGGGGTGGGTTGGGAGAGATTAACCAAATAACTTATGTATGCACTAGATACTGGTGCATGAAAACTCATGCACTGGAGGGAGGGTCCCTCAGCCTAGCCTTCCCCCTCCCACAGTCCAGGAGCCCTCAGGGGCGGGAGGCAACCCGGCGATCAGGGGATGGCGACACCCCATCACACCTCTGTTGCTGCCACTGCCGGCAAGCCTCAGCCAACCCTGGTTACCTGTGCCTCGGGCTGGCCCTGGGCCCTGGGGAGCTGAGGGGACTGGGGGACTCCGGAGGCAGGCGCTCGGAGTGGCTGCTGCCCCAGTGAGGCTGAGGAGACTGGGCACCGCCATCATGTGGCTGTGGGCACCGCTATCTTTGAGGGCATGGCAGTTAATTAGCATATTCCCTCCAAAGATGGCTATGGGTGCTGCCATCTTTGAGGGTGTGGCAGCCAATTAGCATATTCTCTCCTTATTGGCTGTGGGCACTTCCATCTTTGGGGGGTAGGACAGTCAATTAACATATTCCTTCCTTATTAGCTGTGGGTGCTGCCATCTTTGTGATGGTGTGAGGGTCAATTAGCATATTTCTTCTTTATTAGATAGGATATATGCATAACCCAAGGACACAGACAATATTGCAGTGAAGGCCTGGGGAGGGGGTGGGAGCAGGGTGGAGGGGATCAATGGTGGAAAAAAGGGGGACCTTTGTAATGCTTTCAGCAATAATAATAATTTAAAAAGAGACTTAAAGCCCTGTCTGAGTATCTCAGTTGGTTAGAGCATCTTCCCAATACACTAAAGTTGTGGATTCAATCTCAGGTCAGGGCACATATAAGAAGCAACCAATGCATGAATAAGTAAGTGGAACAACATACTGGTGTTTCTCTCAAATCAATTAAAAGAAAATCTATCGCCCTGACCGGTTTGGCTCAGTGGATAGAGCGTCAGCCTGCAGACTCAAGGGTCCAAGGTTCGATTCTGGTCAAGGGCATGTACCTTGGTTGTGGGCACATCCCCAGTAGGGGGGTGCAAGAGGCAGCTGATCGATGCTTCTCTCTCATTGATGTTTCTAACTCTCTATCCCTCTCCCTTCCTCTCTGTAAAAAATCAATAAAATATATTTAAAAAAAAGAAAATCTATCATAATAAAAACATAATATGCAAATTGATTGAACGACCGAACAGCAGAATGACTGTCTGGACAACATTCTGAATGACCACACTATGACACATGCACTGGCGCCAGGCCAGCCAAGGCAGGTGCTATGCGATTGGTGGGGGAGGGAAGGGGACAGCCGCCATCGCCCCATGATTGCCCCACAGAAGGAGGCCCAGGCCACCAGCCAGGGGCCAATTGAAGGGGGGGCTCCAATCGCCCCAGGCCACACTATGTGGGGCGATGGATCGGGGGACTCCACGGAATCGGGGTGTGTGGCAGAGGACGTGGGCATCACCAGGCCAAGGTGGGTGCAGGAGGTGGGGGCTGTGGGGCCTCAAATTTAGTGCATCGAGCCTCTAGTTTAAAATTTAAAAAATGTAAAAGTGCTATAAGATACAGAAATTTTAAAGAATTTTGACACAAAATCTAAAAGATATAATAAGTTGATAGTTTTTAATATATAAACTGTAAATGTTTTACATGGAAGAATATACCAGAAACAAAGAAATAAGAATCTGGGATTGCCTTTGTTACCAAATTGAAGGGGTTCCCCCTGGGGTGTTCTGTTGAGGAGCTAGATGTGGTTGTTCCTGAGTAGTTTCATTTACTTGTAGCAAGTACAGGAGACAAGGGATTCACATCCAAAGCTCTGTCTCCTGGAAGGGAGGCTCAGACATTGACTTCTTTGATGTTGGCCCCACTTGTCACATTGAGTTCCTATCAAGCTCATTCTTTTTACAGCTTTATCTGCAAAACACTGTGCTACATTTTAACATGTAGCAGGAAAAGCATTTAGTAAAAACAGCCCAGACCTTGAGACCCTTGTCCTATCTAACATGATGAATAAAATAAGAGTGTAGCCAATATGAAGGTCAAAGGGCTCATTTTCTTGCTTGTAAATTAAAGGTATATAAACTAAAGTCAGCAATACATTAACAAAGTGGGCTGTAGACTTAAGGAGAAATTCCCAGATAAGGATATATGGCTGGATTATAAATTCAATGTAGACCAAAAAGGGTCCACAGCCCAGCTGGTGTGGCTCAGTGGTTGAGTGTCGACCTATGAACCAGGAGGTCATGGTTCAATTCCCGGTCAGGGCACATGCCCAGGTTATGGGCTCGATCCCCAATGTGAGGCCTGCAGAAGGCAGCTGATCAATGATTCTCTCTCATCATTGATGTTTCTCTCTCTCTCTCTCTCTCTCTCTCTCTCTCTCTCTCTCTCTCTCTCTCTCTCTCTCCCTCTCTCTCTCTCCTCTCTTCCTCTCTGAAATAAACACAACAACAGCAAACAACAACAAAAAAGGGTCCACATAGTACTAGTAAACCTGACAAGCTCAGCAGCGGCCAGCATGGTGGGTGCTACAACTTAGTGACTGAAAGTAACCACATAGACCTGGGAAACGGGGTGCGGCCGGAAATGGGGTCGCCCCCTCGCCCTTCGCCCTTCACGCAGTGCACGTTTGTGGGGAACCTGGTGCTAAATTATTCGTAGACAACCTGCTTCTAGGTTGGGGTTTCGTACATAACAGAGAAGCTCCCTCACTGCGATCTATTGAAAGTCAGCCCTTGACACAAGGATTTGAAAAAAAAAGAAGAAAAAGAAAACACACACACACACACACACACACACACACACTCACATACACACTCACATACACACTCACATACACACACAGGAAGTAACCACATAGGATGGTCTGAACATAAACATTCCTAACTAAAAGTGAGTCATGGCTGGTAGCCAGGTCACCTAGCCTGTAGCTTCCTTGACAAAGGTCAATCTTTATCTTAAGGAGTCCACAGAACCCTTCATCGTTATCTTGTTTCCTGAATACCATCTCCATGTGCTGTAAGTGCTAATGTTAACCATCCTGTGCCCACCAATGTAAAAGAAGTATGTGTCTTTTTAGTTTTTCTCCAATTTCAGAGATTTCCCCATTTTGCTTTCTCCTGCTCCCACAAGTGGATTTCATGTAACCCTCCTTATGTCTCCCCATTTGATTCTAATTGTATAAAATAAGCTGCAAAACTGCCATTCTCCAAAGCATTTTCTTTTTTTTCTTTTTTCAGTTAAATCTTTATTGTTCAGATTACTACATTAGTTACTCTTTTTTCCCACCATAACTCCCCTCCACCCAGTTCCCACCCCACCCTCTGCCCTCACTCCCCACCCACTGTCCTCATCCATAGGTGCACGATTATTGTCCAATCTCTTCCCTCACCCTCACACCCCTTCCCCCCCCCGCAAAAATAGTCAGTCCACTCCCTTTCTATGTCCCTGATTCTATTACAATCACCAGTTCATACTGTTCATCAGATTATTTATTCACTTGATTTTTTTTTTTTATGTCATTACATTATAATTTATTTATTTTATGTTTTTTTTTTTGTTTTTTTTTATTGCTAAAGTATTACAAAGGGTATTACATATGTGTCTATTTTATCCCCCCGCTCTAGACAGTCCCCTAGCCTCCCCTATCCCCCAATGTCTTATGTCCACTGGTTATGCTTCTATGCATGCATACAAGTCCTTTAGTTGATCTCTTACCCCCCTACCTCCTGCCCCGCAACCCTCCCCGGCCTTCCTGCTGCAGTTTGACAATCTGTTTGAGGTAGCTCTGCCTCTGTATCTATTATTGTTCAAAAGTTTATAATGGTCTCTATTATCCATGAATGAGTGAGATCATGTGGTATTTTTCCTTCATTGACTGGCTTATTTCACTTAGCATAATGCTCTCCAGTTCCATCCATGACGTTGCAAATGGTAAGAGTTCCCTCCTTTTTAGAGCAGCATAGTATTCCATCGTGTAGATGTACCACAGTTTTCTAATCCATTCATCTACTGATGGGCACTTAGGCTGTTTCCAGATCTTAGCTATGGTGA